GCGATGCGTCCTTGCTCCTAGTAGCGATGCCAGGAGCCCCTAGTAGCATCCTTGCTCCTAGTAGCGATGCCAGGATCTGCTAGTAGCATCCTTGCTCCTAGTAGTAAGGCCAGGAGCCCCTAGTAGCATCCTTGCTCCTAGTAGTAAGGCCAGGAGCCCCTAGTAGCTGGGCCATGCTTCTTTTGTTTTCTTGTCACAGCTTGCAACAGGTTCATCTTTGGGACCGTTTGCGGGAGGGTTTGGCTCGACCGTCATGAAAGAACATCAGACACAATTTCCATCAATGTCCAGGTGGTGCGGTGTGTTCAAACCTTCAGAAGGAATTCGAGCACGGCAATGCTTCAACTCAATTGTTTGCCTCCATAGACGGCACTACAAGTATTGTTCAAAATCAATGTCAAAAAATGTTCTCATGTTCATTCACAAAATGGGAGTAGGCTGGCTGTGACATGCTGATTATTATTTTTGTTATCAATATGTATGATAATGATGTATGACTGATTGAAAACCTTCTCTTGCTACTGCCAGATCACCAAAAGAATCGAGTCATTGAGTCAAAATAAAATGAAAGAGCATCTGTTGTTGAGCAGGGACAACCGCCAAAGCCCACGATCACAACAGAGGAGACAAAGAACCACAGATTGAAATGAAGTTCCAATGAGTAAATGTGCCTTTTCAAATCACTGGCAAACCAACATTCGTCACTCCCCCTGAGCACTTTGCCATTGTGTACCTTTCCTTCTCGTCAAAGTAGACACAAGCCATCAACTCCTCATCACGAGACAGGAATGCCCCAAGAGGTCAAGCCATTGAAAATCAAGAGTGCAGCGCTGTGGCTAACTTTGCCAACAAGAGGGCAAACCCTCTTTCCAACAACCCCTTGCCTCCAGGCTGTATGGCCGAAAATTCTTGAGTTCCATGATGTCTTTCAGCCGGACAAAGCCATCCTGGAATTAAACCAAGAACCAAGCAAATGAACAGCAGTGCGCTTGCACACTGATGTAAGAACGCCAGTGTTTTAAGGGGCAGTGGCGCTCTTTTTCGACACGAATGCAAGGCCACGCAATTCAGCAAGGCATCTTGTCCATTGATCAAGACCAAGGCATGAAGCAAGCCGATACACGCTTGTTCAGGACTTCAGATAAGAGTGGAGGCCATTGCTATTAGATTGGAGGCCATCGCTCTTAGGTTGGACGAGCGCAACTTGATAACTCTGCGTTGTTCTAGTCAGGTCAAGAGTCGATACACGCACGGGCAGCTTCCAGCCTCTCTTGCGAGGTAGGCAGATGACAAAACTATCAACTGATCCCAAACCATCACCCGCAGCATGCGGCTTCAGCAAGTGCAGCCGCAAGGGGACTACAAGCTTAAAGCGAGGCACGTTGCGCTTGAAGGCCCAAACCCACCCCAACTGCGTCGCTTCTGCATCAGCATTTACATGGACATTTTGTGCCTAAAAGCAGACCACAACCGTGTCCAGTTCCTCAGACAGCTTCTGCTTCCGAAGGCGCAAGAAACAGGGGCGTGATTGTTGGAGGCACCTGAAGTTTACGCTTTGTGCCAAAGCGCGACCTTCCGACCTTCTCTCAATGTAGACTGAGCGCGCTTCTGGCAGCAAATCAGTATCAACTGCCCATTGCGTGCGCATCTCTTCTCACATGTCTATTGACCACATTGGCCTCATAGGCAAACTCATGACCGGGCTCATCCCACTCATCTATGTATAATACATATGCATATATTATCCACTCCATAGCCAAGAAACATTTAAAAAAATCACCTGCATTTGTTGGATCACTGCTCTGCTACTGCTGAAAGAGTGACTACCCCTGGTATACAGTGTGGAGGCGCATTCAAGCTAGGGGTCCTTTGAGCCTTATGCAATGGCCTATGGAACCTAAGAGCGATGGCCTCCAACTACCCTTAAAATTCACCTGAGGGACCAAACCAAGGACCAGCATGGGGTGTAAGAGGAAGAGGAAAGTAAAACAGGAAGACTTGGTTCCTAGGATTTTAGCACCTTAAAATTGGAGGGGCAATGCGTGCCTGTGTGACCAGTTGAAGGCCGTTCCAATCTTGCGGCTCGTTTCAAGCGTGTTTTGCATCGACTGACTTGAAAGTTGAGTGGACAGGAGCCCCTACTAGCGTCCTTGCTCCTAGTAGCGATGCCCTTTTGCTCCTAGTAGCGTCCGATCGCTCCTAGGAAAACCCTCGGTCGTCCTTGCGAATTCTCACGTCCAGTTTATGTGCAGCATGCCGAAGGACATACGAGAACCTCGGCTCCAGTTCACACTCTTGAGTCCAGAGTTGTTTTTTAGGAGCTTTGGTAACAATTAAATCACTAAAATAAATAAGTGGTTGCATCTTTCTTCTACATTTTACTGAGCTGCATTTTGGAAATCTTCACATGCTCGCGATCTTCTGCCAGACGGTTGAATATAGGCTCCAGGGCTACCTAGCAAACTCTCATCCAAAGAGCTCCCAGGTCATTGCGGCAACCAACTCAAACTGCAAGCAAAGCAAAGAAAGAGCAAAGTACGTATTTGTAATTGTGTAGAGTATAGCTTAGCACCCTTCTTTGGAGAAGTGTGGCTCCACTACCCTCGACCTTGTCACCATCTCTTTTGAGGTTCCATCTTTTGCCTTGCAGGGCAAGGATTGGCAAGGGATGTTTGCATTTCTCAGCTAGATTCAGCAAACAAAGAACGCACCTCCCTCATCATCGTCATCATCCTGGATTTCAATGGAAAGAGGAGAGTAGAGAAATTCCGAGGACGACAGAAATGTTTCAGGGTGATTCTGGTTCAGCGAGTGCAGTGACTTCTATTCTCAAGCATTCAGGAAACAGAGGAAATGCACGAACGTGTTGACACTCGTAGCGATGGCCTCCAACCTACTAGCGATGGCCTCCAACCTAATAGCAAAAGGAACCCAATAACGTGTTGACACTCGTAGTCAAAAAAAGGCAACAGACCCCAGTCCAGGTTAGAGGCCTGTGCATCGCCAGCAGCCTTAGCATTCGCACTGAAACTAATTTCATTGAGTGCTTTTCTTGTTGAGTTGCTCAACGAATTGCTCATTTCACTCGAACAAACTACTGTATCACTCTCGAACCCTGCAACTAAAAATGGAAGAAAGAGAAGCAAAAAGAGCCAAACAGAAACAGAAAAGGACGTGAGCGCATTTTTGCTGCCTTTCGTGAGTGTCCGGCCTTGGATGAAGATGCTCCTCCTGCATTTTCGCCTTGGGCGACTTCGTCAGGAGCAGAACCGGGGGAAAAAAATACGTTCCTTCTATTCTGATATCTATTTCAGGTTCAAGTCTGTTGGAGGGTAGGCTGTGAGGAAGGTATGTAGCAAGCCAATTTTATATGTAGTAAAGAGAAGCTACTCCATGCAAGGCAGTGGAGCTGGGGTTCTTCAACTTCTTGGATAAAAGCAAGAAACGCAAGAAACCCAGAGCAGCTAAACTTAGCGGTTCAGTAGCAAAAGCTTGCAGTTCTTGAAACGCTGCCATTTTGGCTGTCAAACACACATGGTTCCCGCAAAATGACGAGATTGACTCGCTCGCTGGAGCGAATGACTCGATCACTTGAGTGCCAAACTGAAATCATTTAGCTCGTCCTCATCCTCTTCCTCTTTCGGCCCAACAGCGACATAATTGAAGCTTTGAAATGGATGCTAATCAAGGCTGATCTCAGCCAATAATGTTGGCCTATGGGACTTGCTCTGGCCTCATCGGCAGATTGGAAGGAAGCTTCTGAAACCGCTTCCTTCGCCACGAGGCAGGAGAGTTCAACCCTCATCAAATAGTTCTATGAATCATATGTGCACATCAAGCATCCTCGTCAGCCTCAACAGGCATTTCCAAAGAGCTGCCTGAGGTCCGAACGAAGAAATTGTTGACTTGGACTTGGAAAGAATTTAAAAAATAAGAACAGAAAAGCTGCTCCAAGGGAACACAAGAAAGGAAAGGAAGCAAGGAAGTTAAGTCGCCATTGGGGTGGAGGCCATTGCTACTAGGTTGGAGGCCATCGCTAGTAGTCACCTAAGTTTCCCTAAAAATCTAGGAACCAAATCGTTAGTGCGAGCGCTTCTTCAAGGAAGCTCCCCCACACCTTCAGGCGGAGAGCTACCTTGAAGAAGCATGAGCTATCCTGCGTCCATGCTAGTAGCTTAAGTAAGGTAGTAGCTACCTCTCCCTTACTTAATTAAGTAGCCGCCTACTTAATCAAGTAGGGATGGGGGAGCGGAAAAACATAATACAAAGACACAGATCGATAAAAAGAATGTGTAGCGGGTGGAGCACAAGTGGAGCGTATCGAGGGGCTCAAACACGAAGTACGAACGAAGTCCGGACAGCCGCAATGGCTCAGCTTTTCTACCGACCGCAGTGGTCGAGTCAGTGCTCGAAAGGGGCCCCTGGATTCGGGCCAAGTGGCATGGAAAAACATGGATGCAACAAAAGCTCAAGCTCAAGGCCATGGAACCTGCACCGGCAAAAAAGGTTTTTGAGTCTTTGACTCATTTTGGCCTGAGCTTTCAAAGTCATCGATCTTCTTCACAGCTGTGCGACCTTGTCGCTTGTTCTTCTTGGCAGCCGTGAACGATGCATCGAATGCAATGGCCCAAAGCCATGACTTCAAAAATCTCTCTAAGCCGATGCGCGCCTCGGGGCGTTTCTTTGTGAGCCCGTCGGCTAAGTCGTAATCCGACGCTACCCACCTCAACGTGCAGCCCGTGCGACGCAAATTGTCGCGCAATTGAAATGCTTGAAGGGCCGCTCGGAGGTTTGTCAAACCTAAAAGTGGAGACTCACTGACTTCAATGGCGTCAAATCCTCCTCTTGAGTCTGTACACAAAATGCCTCTCACTAAGCGAGCCACCGCCTCCATGGCATCCACCATGTCAAAACCACGTGTGGAAGCCACGTGCTTCCCAGCGCCATGGAGCTCTGCCCAAAGCACCCTTGAGCGGAACAGGACATCCTCGGTCTCGAATCGACTGCACTTCTGCGTCGTTTGATCCCACCGCACGGCGCTTCAGCTTCCAGGTGCGCCAAGCTAGCAGCGACATCTTGCTCACCGCTCCATCCAGGCATTTGGGAGAAGATGCCAGGATCACCATCCCACCAGTGCTTCCCCCTTTCTCTCTATTCGAGTGGGCTTGATCACCCATTCCCACAAAAACGACTTGGTCCCAAGACTCACAGTCATCAAAACGACTGAACTCCAGACAGGTGGCTTGGGCACGGCACTCATTGATGATCGCCTGGATCTCGCGAGCACTCTCCAAGGTTCCAGCGGTGGTGATTTCAGAGAGCAAAAGGTTGCAGCGGGCAGTGATGAGTGGTTGGCTCTGGACAGCGAGCCATTGGAGGGCTCCAAGTGCTGTCCTGCATGCGTTGACCTCATGAGGCGCCAAGGGACCTTGTTCTCGAAGGCGCTGAGGGTCGATGCTGATGTCAGCCAAGCCCTCAACGTAGAAGCTCTGATCCACTTGGATGCGGAAGCCACCATCCTTCTCCTCAATGGTGTGCACATCGGACCCGGCATGGCGGTAAGAACCACGTTTCTTGCTTCCCCAGTTGTAGGAGGTGTCGATGAGCTGCACCACTTCTTGCCACTCGGGAGAGTTCTCATCGCCGATCTGGTGAAAGTCGTCGACGTGTCCTCCCATGAGACCGAGCAAGCGTGGATTGCCAGTGACAGGATCCATCTCGTGCTTGCTGTACCAGGCCCACAAGCATCGCTCGCCTCGGATGGCGCGACCGCCCAGTGAGGTGAGCTTTTCATTCAGGCTCAGCCACAATCTTTTAGGAGCGGTGGTGCTCCCGTAGATGTTGCGCAGAATCCGGAGGCAGGAGTGTTCAGGCACTCCCAAGGCCTGACGGAGCTCAGTCACTCCCGTGGTGTAGAGCTGATCATCGGCTTCAGTGGGCATAGTTTGCAAAAACGCTGTGGCCAAATCTAGGCCAGTGAGGCGCCATTGGTGCACCACGGAGGCCAGGTAGATCATGTGACGTCCAAGCGTTGAGATCACCGGGGCACTGGTTTTGAAGTTTCTCTCCAACAATGACAATGATGGGTGTTGGTAACCTAAGAGGACGATGCGAGCCTTGGCTTTTCGGCTGATGGTAGCATCCACCACCGTTTCCGGGTTGGTTTCACGATCACGGATGCTCTCCTCCACCTCGTCTGGTGGAATGGGTTTCCAAGTCAAGACCCATCTGGCCTTGAGAATTCTTCCACTGCCAAAGGCCTTCTTCACCTCCTCATCGCTCAAACAGCGCCGAACAGCGCCATTCTTCAGGAAGGAGTTGACTTCCTTTGCCTTAGCTCTGGTGAAGAGGATGAGGTCATCGGGTCCCAGAGCTTTGAGCGACACCTCGGCAGAGTTCAGCTTCTTGGTCAGGTACAGGGCGGGGTCCAGCTGAAAGTTGCGGCGATCTCGCCTGTTCTTGAAGTTCAGGTCCAGCTCGATGTGCAGACAGTCACCTTCATAGGATTGGAGGAAGGTGAACAGATCTTCATGGGTGACTTCTTGTTGAGCTTCTGCGTGGAGCTGTTCAAGCCACTTGAGGTCATATTCTGTTCGATGGTCCAGCTTGGCCTTTTTGGCTTCTGGAGCTTCGAGGTCGGGGTTGTCATAGTCGTTCACGGCTTCTGACTTGTCAGCGACGTCATCCATTCGTTCCTGAAGTTCACCAGGATCAGGTGGTTCTGTGGGCGTGTAGTCCGCCATAGGGATCTCAGGCTGTGGAAGGTACTGCTGAGGCTTTGGTGACTTGATCGATGTGTGCTCTTGTAGTCGGGCTTGAGGTGCGTCTTGACCACCTTGTAGTCCGATGGTTGGAGAGTTGACTTTCCAACAGCCCGTCGAATCGGTGCCAATGTCGTGGCATTCGGCTCTGGAGGCAAGTCTGGTATTTCACGATCACGATCAGTGGGCTCCTCATTTGTGATGTCTTGATATTCCCTGCGGGGAATCAGATCTTCGAGCGTCTTCCAGAGAGTGGGATCTTCACCTCCATGAAGTTCATGTGTAGTCGCTCGGCCTCATTGACAGGTCTGACAGAGTGGACCGAGCATCGCCATAATCGGCGGCCAACAAGAACCCACAGGATGCGTTGTCTCTGGTCGGTCACCTCTTGATGAGGTATGCTCTCTGCGAAAACCACTCTTCCAGGGCCTACCCATCGTGGTCGACCTGATTTCTTGTGACCTCCTCGAGAGCCTTGATGCTGTTCGCCAGCTTGGACTTTGCGCCAGATCATCACGAGGTCGGTGGGACTGTAGGTCCTCAGAGGTTGTTTGACCGTGGTGTTGGTCAGTTTGCTCATCACCCTTTTCGCACGCGATCGTCTCGCGATCTCTTCAGCCTCTGCTCGTGCCTTGGAGATTCGCAAAAAGTCCTCCTTGGGGTCAATGGCATTCCATACCCGAATGTCTTCGTCGGAGATGGCATAGCGAGCGCCAAAGGCCCATTGATGCGCAGAGTATCCAGCAGTGAACTCTGTTCCATTCAAGGCGGAGGCAGCCAAGGTGAGGGAAAGAGCTGGTGTGTTGTCCAAGGCTTCAAGTTGTATAGCATTTGCAACATGTTTGATGTCAGCAACGGCAGCCTCCACAATGCCATGACTCCAGGGTTCCTTCTCTGGTGGGAAGTGCAGCTGGATGTTTTCTGCCTCACAGAACTCATGGAAGCGGGCGCTGACAAAGCTTTTGGCGTTGTCCGCCACGATGAGCTTGGGTTTCGGAAAGTGCGCCAGCCAGCCATGTACAAGACCTTCAATGATCTCTTCGGAGGATTCTGGCTGCATTGCCAGTTCAGGGTACTCCTTGATGAGCTTAACCGCACGGAGCTTGGTAGCGAGGTCAATGATGAGGATGAAGCGTGCTTTCTTCTGTTGTCCTGGAACGAGCCATTCAGCGGTGTCAAGGCCAATGCGTTCCCAGGCACCAGGAAGTGGATGAGTTGCAGCAGGTGGAATCTGTCCTGATGAAGTTCCGCCCATCTTGAGAGACTTGCAGGTCTCGCATTGGTGTTCAAGAGCGGTTTGAACCTTCCAGGCCGGACAGCCTGCATCACGGACCAGTCTGGCCAGGTTCCGAGCTGTGGGATGTCCAGCTGCCTTGTGGAAGTGTGACAGCCGTGCTTGCCACTTTTGAAGCTCCTCTTTCGAAGGACTCAGTGACGAAGAGCTCGAGGATGGTTCCTCTTGTAAGGCAGGTAGTACATGAGGTAGCTCCTCCAAATGGTGAAGCTCTTCTTCAAGTGTGATCATTTCAGGCTGATCTTCCTGGGCAAAGACGAGCTTGAGGTTCCGGTCGGACACATACTCCTGTCGCCAGGCCAAAGCGATGGATTTGCATAGTCTCCATGGGTAGTAGGAGCTCTTGGCAGTTTCAATGCCTTGAATCCAAGTATGGCTGTGGCCTCCAGGACATACCTTACATTTGAACTTGCTGTGGAACTGCTCGTTGGTGGTCATGACACGCCACTGCTTCTTGAGGAAGCCACCGGATTCATCAGAAGCTCGAAGCCCATAGTTGCAGCCGTCAATCCGGCATGGGAGCCATTCACGTCCGTGATTGGCCAGGATCTTGTGGATGTACTCGATGGGGTGTTGGTTCCAGCCTTCACAGGGCCAGGGCCATTCAAAGTAGATGTCCACCTCCTCATCCTCGTTGAGGATCTCCTCGATGAAGTGAGCCGCCATCCATAGCATCCTTCTCTCACGCCGGCGGTACTTTTCCAGTTGGGCACGACCTTCTTCGGTCCGGTAGTTGAGATGTGACCACCGACACCATTTCGTGCGTGGGAGGCTGAACCAAAGTCGCCTGGGTCGATGTTGGCGACGAAGGACTTTCAAATGATCCCAGGTAGTTCTCTGGTAGATGTCATAGCCAGTGGAGAGGTTGATCCTTCGAGGATTCAGTCCTTGTTGGCTGCAGGCCTCACTGAGCCAGGAGTGAGGTGCACAGGCCACCTCCCAAACGCCATCCCTTCCATCCATCAGGAAGTTCATAGTTGTGGGTGCCATAGCGGTCATCAAAGTTGTAGCCATGAGGAGCAGCCGCGCAGCCATAGATCTCGGCAGGGGCGATGTGGTAGTCGAGGATGTGGTCATGCCTCGCTCCCATAGGCCTTTGGAAGGTCGGTGAGTGTGCCCTCCTGGTCGCACTCCATTCGGCGCTCCTCCAGCAGCTTCATGAGTTGCTGCATCTCCTCCTCCTTCAGCAGGTCCTCCAGGTCGAGCTCCCGGAATGTCTTCTTCCGAGGATCCTTGTGCGGGCTCGGTGGTGTGGTCGGTACCACGTCCCAGCTCGAGGTCAAACTTGACGGAGCGGCCTTGCTTTTGGATGCACCCTTGGACGGTGGAGCAGTCTTGTAGCCCTTGATGTCTTTCTCGCGCTCCTTTTCCTTGTCCAGGGCAATCATCTGACGTCCGATCAGGGTGGACAGGGTCTCCTCGGCATCGATAGCCTTCTCCATGGCCAGGCAAATTGCGGCAGATGGTCGCGCCGAGTTCATCCTTTCCTTCAGGGTCGTCAGCATCCGGAGGATCATCGTGGGGTTCTGCACCTTGGAGCTCTGCCCATGGGATCCGTGTCGAGGAACATAGCGCAGCCTCAGGTTGCACGTGGCACAGTGCAGATACTTGGCATGAGGATTGGCCTTCCAGGTGTCCTCGATGTGCTCCCCGTAGCATGGCCATTGATCCGGACTCCACCTCGGATCGCGATTGTCCGGTCCCACTGCACGGCCCTCGTCGAAAGGTCGAGGCTCCTGCTTGTCCGGGCTGCCCGTCAGGCGCTCCCGGAGATCGGCTGCGCCGCCGCGTATGTCCCAAATCAGGTTCCCCTCCTTCTCTGTGAGAGCAGCTCGGTTGCGGGACATGGCAAGAGCGATCAGGGGACGTCGAATTGAAAGGCTGGACCAAGTCAGTCCGGCTCATTTGAGTCGTGGGCTGCAGCGCCGAACATTGATGATGGATGTGTTCATGGAGTGTCAACAAATGTCGACGAGATTGTTCGATCCGATCATGGTTCCGAGGTCTGGTGTCCATTGAAGTGGTCATGAACTCCAAGGGCATGAACTGAATGAAGTGATTCTCAAAAACCGCATGCTCTTCAACCACATAGACCTGGGGGTGTCCTTCATGGCATTCCTGTCCCCGTGTGAGGAAATAGACAATGTCCATCACATAGTGTCCTTTGGGGTTCACCTCCAGTTGATAGATCTCAGGTTGTGGTTCATGAGAGTCCAAGGCAAGTCCGGTGGCGAAATCGATGACCATCGAAGAACGTGCTCCCGACAAGTGGTCCATTCCGATCAACACCGGCACCATGGATGAGGGCTTGAACGATGGGTCGCGCATGTCCGACGGATTTGGTAGTGCATATAGTTGAAAATGATGTGGTCTACCCGAAACGGACGATGTCATCGAGACACGATACAAAGCCCTTCCCCACTTGCCGTTCCCGAATCGAAAGTGCGGCCTATCATCCTTGCGGACTTGAATCACTGCCTTGCTGTCCTTGGCAAGGATTGCAGAAACCAAGTTCTCTACGGCCAACTGGGGACCGGCAGACGCCGTCGCCCCGCAATCCAGCAAACCATGTGTTGCCGGCAAAGAAGGCGCAGGCTGTGGCGCTCCGGCCTCTTGGGCCTGCATCTCAAGGCCACCGAAGAAGACTTCAGAGTTGTAGGCATTGACAGGTGGTCGAGGGCTAGGACCTTTACCTTTGAAGCGTGTCGGGCTGCCCTTGCCTTTGTGCCAGGCTTGGGCCTCCAACCAATGAGATTGCTTTCCTTTCTTGCCACCCTTCTTGCCCATCATGAAGTCCTCCATCATGTACGGGTCATACTCCGTCATGTAGTGGTGTTTGAACTTTCCTTTTCCCTTAAAAGGACCAGGATGTCGACGGTCGGGGCACTCGCGAGACAGGTGAGGTCCATTGCAAATGAAACAGGGGCCACGGCCTTTTCCCGATGTGGGAGCAGCATGTCCAAAACCGCGATCACGTCGGAGGGCCGCCGTGGCCTTCTGGGCATCTGCCCAAGATCGTTGAGCTTCCAGGGCCAGAGATTCGGCCATCTTCTCGGCTTTCTGGGCCTCCTTGATCTCATCGTCGTCCTCGGCCTGGTCGACCTTGTCATCCACAGTCTCGTGGGCATAGTTGACCTCAGACCAATCCCATGATGGCCAATCGTCACCTTGCCATTCAGCTTGAAAGGCATCCCATGACCAGTCATCATGATGAGGTTCAGGATCTTCCACCACGGCCATCTCGTGCCAGTTGGAGACGTGCGACACCTGAGCTCGAGCACCAATGAACTGTTCGTCCCAGAGAGTCTGCAAAGCACGGCTCACCTCCTCAAAGTCCAGGGAACCATGAGTTGCTGAAAGGATGTCACGACGCTCCTCAGCTGACAGTCCGGCCGATTGGAGAAGCCGGAACCCCCTAAGGACTCCAAGCACGAAGGAGTCAGCGAAGCTCAGATCTGACAGATCATCAGCGAGGCCAGATTGAGAGGGTTGTACTCCAGCTGAGCGTCGGCTGGGCGAGATGTCCTGTGGAACTCGATGATATCCACCATGTTGAGGTGAACCACTTTCAGCAGCAGCTCTGGTCGAAGCGCTCGGCAGGGATGTTGGTTGAGCCGTCGGTGCATTGGGGTCGAAGTCACCCTCCTCAGGCTGTTCAACGTTCTCATCGTCGAGCGGCCACTCACCCCAAGCATGCCATGAGGACCAGTCATAGTCCTGGTTATAGTCATAGCCGTCCTCATAGTCAGGCTCTTCTGGAGGCAAGCCAAAGTCCTTATCCTCCTGCTTCACACCTCTCTTCTCCTCAGCCAATCTCACCAAGGCCTCAACGAACTCGCTGTAGCCAAGAGCCTCTCGGACGAGGAAGGACGTCATCGCCTCGTGAGGCTTTCGTTGGAAGCCAAAGTATTGACCACAAATGGCCGAGGCATTTGGAATCGATCTCCTCACAAGCGGGGAGGCAGCTAGCCTCTGCAAGAGAACCTTCGTGCCGTCATACTCGTCCAGGGCCATGTCGCTCCATGACATCGCAAGCAACCTTGCTGGTCCCGTCAGGCGACTCAGCAATTTGGTGGCGACATATCGCCGCTTGGAGATGGGCGTAGCCCTGAAGTACCATGAAACCTCCCGCGTGTAGCGGCGCCAGCTTTTGGCAGAGCCGTCCCAGGAAGGGACAGAGAAAGCATCCTTGTCGGCCATCTTGACCAAACTCCAGGGGGAAAATCTTCAGCAAAAAGGGCCTTGCTCAGCAAGGTCAGGAGAAGTGCAAAAAAGGGGCAGCAGCTAGCCACTCAACCAGTCTCAGCGAAGACCTTCTTGAACTTGGTCAGGATGTAGTGGCGAAAGCTGCAGAGGTCGCTGGAGCAACGTGCTCCGCTACCATGTAGCGGGTGGAGCACAAGTGGAGCGTATCGAGGGGCTCAAACACGAAGTACGAACGAAGTCCGGACAGCCGCAATGGCTCAGCTTTTCTACCGACCGCAGTGGTCGAGTCAGTGCTCGAAAGGGGCCCCTGGATTCGGGCCAAGTGGCATGGAAAAACATGGATGCAACAAAAGCTCAAGCTCAAGGCCATGGAACCTGCAGAATGTTAAGTCTAGCCTGTTCCCGTCGAGAATCCTCTTGGCCTACTCGCCCCCTTGAAAGAGAATGCGTATTTTAATCTAGATACAAAGACAATCTTTTGATTGGATTACTCTCAACAAGAATATCCTCACAAGACCAACTGCCAAAGGCCAAGGCACATCTGGCAGCTTTCGGAAGAAAACGTATGCATCCGCAGCCCGGGCCCCAGCGGAACACATGTGCTCGGGCCCTGTCTGCAGTTCCATGATTCCCAACTTGGGGCGAGCCTATCAAGACCTTTCAATCCTTTTTTCTAAACCCATGGCGTGTTCTTTCTGTGTCTTTTTTTTCTTATAGGCCTGTCCTTTCTTGCTGGATCACCTTTGGATAACTTTGGTGACCAACTTTGGAGCATGAAGGATTAGCTCCTTGCACAAACTGCACTGCACACGAAATGACACACTGCGCGACATTTTGGAAGCCGCGGCCAGGAACTCCGGAAGCACCCTCTCTCTAAGGCATCGTCGCCACAGCAAAACCAAGCTTGCAAACGATACGATCCTTTTATAAAACGATGCCGAATGCTGTTGGATTTGACTATTCCCCTTGTAGCGAAAAGAAAAGATATTTGTAAGAACTGCTCGGTGTCTTGAAACGTCCATGCAGCATGGCATCAGTGGCAACTTCTGCAGCGGCTCAACGCAGGGCCGTGGCCTGACACACTGCGATTGAAACGTCGGAAACACTGCTATTGGATTGGAGGCCCTCGCTATTAGGTTGAAGGCCATCGCTATTAGGTTGGAGGCCGTCGCTATTAGTTGAAGGCCATCGCTATTAGGTTAGAGGCCGTCGCCATTAGGTTGAAGGCCATCGCTATTAGGTTGGAGGCCATCGCTATTAGGTTGAAGGCCATCGCTATTAGGTTGAAGGCCATCGCTATTAGGTCGGAGGCCATTGCTATTAGGTTGAAGGCCCTCGCTATTCGGTTAGAGGCCGTCGCTATTAGGTTGAAGGCCATCGCTATTAGGTTGGAGGCCATCGCTATTAGGTTGAAGGCCATCGCTATTAGGTTGGAGGCCGTCGCTATTAGGTTGGAGGCCATCGCTATTAGGTTGGAGGCCATTGCTATTAGGTTGAAGGCCATCGCTATTAGGTTGGAGGCCTCGCTATTAGGTTGGAGGCCATCGCTATTAGGTTGGAGGCCATCGCTATTGGGTTGGAGGCCATTGCTATTAGGTTGAAGGCCATCGCTATTAGGTTGGAGGCCATTGCTATTAGGTTGAAGGCCCTCGCTATTAGGATGAAGGCCAGCGCTATTAGGTTGGAGGCCGTCGCTATTAGGTTGAAGGCCATCGCTATTAGGTTGGAGGCCATCGCTATTAGGTTGAAGGCCATCGCTATTAGGTTGGAGGCCGTCGCTATTAGGTTGAAGGCCATCGCTATTAGGTTGGAGGCCATCGCTATTGGGTTGAAGGCCATCGCTATTAGGTTAGAGGCCATTGCTATTAGGTTGAAGGCCATTGCTATTAGGTTGGAGGCCATCGCTATTAGGTTGGAGGCCCTCGCTATTAGGTTGAAGGCCAGCGCTATTAGGTTGGAAGCCGTCGCTATTAGTTGAAGGCCATCGCTATTAGGTTAGAGGCCGTCGCTATTAGGTTGAAGGCCATTGCCATTAGGTTAAAGGCCATCGCTATTAGGTTGGAGACCATCGCTATTAGGATGGAGGCCATTGCTATTAGGTTGGAGGCCATC